ATTATGGTAAAAGTTTCGGTTTACAAAATATTATCACGTAACTTGTATAACACGACGACCTTGGTGGTGTAGCGGTTAACACTCACCTTTCGTTTATCACCGGTTTGATTACCGTAAAACATATGTTTGTATTATTAATATCTATTTATTTTTTACTGGCCTATTTACTATTATATATTACTAGGTGTTACCCCGGTTTCGTCTGTTTTTTATAGACCTACAATGGGATTCAATGCAGTTTTTTTTTTACGACATTGGTGGTGCAGCGATTAACAACACGCACCTTTGGTTTATCACGGGTTCGATTACGTAGAACATATATTTGTATCATTAATATCTATTACCGGACTTTTTTCATTATATACTAGCCACTCGCCCCTGCTTCGCACGGGTGTACATGTATTATATACATAAACCTTCCTCTGGAATCACTCAATCTATTAAAAAAACCGCTTCAAAATCCGTTGCGTAGTTATAAAGATTTAAGCATACATAGGGACAGACGAGCAGCGACTTTATTTTATACTATATAATGATTACGCAATATCGTTTGTTTTTGGTTTTTGTTAGAGCTACAATGGCTGGCAAGGCAATTCACCTAGTGTTACGGGTGTTCATGGGCGGCGGTAATCACTCACCATCAGGTGAGCCGCAAGTACGTTTGCCCCCTATCTATATATATAAATAAAATTGGAGTGTCTGTTTGTAATATTGAAATAACCCTTTTTTATACTACATGCATATGAATATAAATACGATACATACACCAAAATAACATTTTTTACAATTTTTGTCTGTCTGTCTGTTTGTTTGTTTCGGCTAATCTCTGAAATGGATGGACCGATTTTGTCGGGACTTTTATTGGCATGTAGCTGATGTAAGAAGTAACTTAGGCTACTTTTATTTTAGATAAAAAAAGTTAAGTTTCAAGCTAGTAATGTAATAAATATATAGTTACTAGTTGTGGCCGCGACTTTGTCTGCGTAATATCATGTGATCATGATTAAATAATTAAAAAATATTAAATTATCTAACGAAAAAATTAAAAAGAATAATTTCATCGTCCCAGCAGCATCGTCATTTATGACGATTTTCCACAAAAACTTTCATCCCCTATTTTATTTTACCACCTTAAGTGTAAAATTTTACAAACTTTGACTGTCATATTTATTTATATTTAATCAGTAACCTAAAAAATAAATTTCAAGCTTCTAGCATTAAAAATGACGATACTTCCCTACATATTCTTATCTTCCCGTTCAACCGCTTAGAATCCTTTTATCGCATTAAAAAGTAGCCTATGTCCTTTCTCACAGTCTAGACTATCTGTGTACTAAATTTCATTGAAATCCATCCAGTAGTTTTGTCGTGAAAGCGAGACAGACAGACAGAAACTACTTTCGCATTTATAATATTAGTAAGGATATACGCTTTCTATAGATACGATACAGGCGCGTGATCTAATGTCTAATTGTTTATCATACATCAATGGTTAGACCAGATTTTGCTGTACAAACGACATTGTACCGATCTACGGAGCACAATTTTAACACTGCCTATTAATTCACACGCTTTACGTTCAACTGTATTAACTGAAAAGAAAATTTTGGAAATTCGACTTTATAACGCAGATTTTTAAGTCGGTTCCTTACTTTTTATAGATGTATTTTAAAATTATTATTTTATTTCATATTGATTTCCTACATAACTTCGAGTAAAGCGACTAATTAGTCATTACTCTATAAAAAAAATTTGGAAATTCGACTTTATACCTCAGATTTTAAAGTCCTTACTTAATTTTATGTAGTTAGCAGTTTATTATTAGGCATGAAAATCAATATATTTTCATATATTATACACAATATTTCATATATACAATATGATTTCCTATATTAGTTCGGTGTTAATAATATCAAATTGGTCGATACTCTATGTAGCTATTTTTTGTACTAACTATTTAAATAATACTACTTGATGGATTGATTCTAAATTTAAGAAAGATGTTACAAATGAATGTGGATGGTTATAAGGGCAGAGGAAGGCCAAAAAAGAGATGGATGGACTGTGTGAAAGATGATATGGTAAGAAAGGAAGTAAATAACGCGATGACTGCGAACAGGGATGAATGGAAACGAAAAACATATTACGCCGACCCCAAATAAATGGGATAAGGATGAAGCAGATGATGATGATGGATTGATTCTAAACCCATATTGTCATATTGCAATATGGGTGTAGACTCAATAACGGTCGGAATTTGATCGCCATTAGAGAAGCTTGCAACGGTAGTCAAGTTTCCACACCGAATATTTGCGGTCCCACATGCTAATTGTAGCGGAATTAAACAAAATAATACATATAAATCCATCAAGTAGTAGTTTCACTTCCGCAAAATAACACCTAATTCGATTAAATATTTCAATAATGTAATGTAACACCTACGTACGTTTACTACACACCACACGCGTAATCGAATATCTAATTATACATCATACGTCAATGGTTACACCTGAATTTAGCTTAACAAACGACCTTGTAGGTACATTGCAAAAACCTGTCGATCTATTCTTAAGACCAATTTCAATCGATCAACAATAGCACTTTGACATTACACGCCTTTTTAACTCTTTTAAATACAGTTGGAATGGCAAATGGTCATATCTGATGGTAAGAAGCAACGATACCGCAACAGTATGGAGAGCATCACGTCATCACATTACGCATGTGATATTATCACGCTATATCCGATAGTTAAAATGTTCTGCCCCTGTAATTTGACTGCCATATCTCAACCTTTAAGCTGAAAATACTCATCTTACTGATGTTATAAACGGGAATGTGAGTATGGATGGATGTTTGTTACTCTTTCACGCAAAAACTTTACTGAACGGATTTCGATAAAACTTTTCAGTAATATAGCTTATACATCAGAATAACACATAGGCTATAATTTAAAAAGATATTACGTAATTTGGGCGAAATATAATCAAATAATGTCATGCAGACGTGGATAGGCGGGTTAGATAGTAGCTTATAAATGAATCAAACTGCATGGCAATATAAATAACTAGCTGACCCGCCCAACTTCTCTGCATTACACTTACATGACATATTACGTATGTTACTGTAAAGTTTCATCAAAATCCGTTCAGTAGTTTTTGGGTGAAAGAGTAACAAACATCCACCCATTCTCACAAACTTTCGCGTTATAATATTATTAAGAATTAAGATTATGTGAACTCCAACGCAAGACTTTGTACTATGTCGACTTTGGTACTATTGCATTAAAGCTACATATTAGTTTTAATCTGAATTGAAACGTAATTTTGAAAGATATTTTCGAATATAATCCAAATTCAGTGGAAACAAGTCATATCTAAATATCTTTATTCATATAGTTATTATGTATCTATTATTCGGAGTGCATTCGAGCTAAAACTGACAAGAAACTCAGCTCTTATTCTTTCAAAAAAATGAAGTGTAAAATTTAATTTGTATTTTTGTATTAACGTACAAATTAATACAAAAATACAAATTAAATTTTAAATTCTATTAATCACAATATTCTCCATATTGTGACTCAATATATGCTATGACATTATTGTTAAAATGAAATGAACTCAGTGGCAGAGAGAATATCGTGGTCTGACACATGATGTTGCATTTTTGTCAAAAGCAAAATAAACTAATAAAATAATCTAAAGCTGCAACCTTAACTAATCTATTACTAATCATTCTGAACAGTTTAAAACTAAATTTGCATTAAAATAATTAATTACACTATACAATGACAACTGTTTCGAAATTTTAAGTATTTAGCATAATCTACAATCGAAAGAACGAACTAGAAATATATTAATGTTTATTAAGTAACTCCAAATTATGTCAAGTACATTGTAACAATAACATTTTTCATAAACGCTGCACTGGAATTACACAAGACGTTTATAAAAATTGCCAAACTTACACGATTTTGATTATTATTTTCCTCACTATGGACTGGACAGGAACTAGTTGTCAAAATAGTGTGACAGTGTCGAAATATCGGTAGCTCATAAATAATATGAACACGGTAAATTTCCCGATATACAAAACAAAGAGTATGATATATATATAAGGATAATATATACGAAATAAATTAGTATACCTTTTACGACCAATATAACTTAAGTATTTTATACCACAGGGTATAAAAAAAACGCCAAACTTATATAATTTTGATTATTCTTTTCATAACTATAGACTTAGGTGTCAAAATATTTAAATCAAAATTTTTACTTGACCGGTGACCGCATGCTTGTGTTAGTGTCGATATATCGGGAACATTTAAATAACATAATCACGGTAAACATTCCGATATACAAAACCAAGACCTAAGTAAAATACTGCGTAACGAAATCACTTCTTTATAAAATTTAATTCTCTAAATATTTTATTATATTTTCAGTATTAAATCGTGACTGTAGAGTTGACATGAAAGTTTCGAACATTAAATTATTATTTTTTATTATATATTTCAATACAGTTACAATGATGCTATAACTTCCGTTTGGTATACCTTTTTTATGAATCTCATTGATCTGTCTAAAAATCTTAAATCACGTGACTTGCGAGTTGCCATGAAAGATTCGAACATCATTATCCTATTTACCACTTTACTTTTTGGGTGGGTACAGTTCCAATAATGCTCTATCACTTCCGTTTGGTATACCTTGTTATAAACCTCATTGATCTAACTGCTTAGACAGTTAAACGGAAGTATTTGCATAGCATAGCATCAGACTTATCTGATGCTCTGCTATGCAAACATTTGGTATATCAACTTTTTTATCTTACTGCCTAAAAGTCTAGTGTGACTGGGATAATTATAACAGCATCGAAATATCGGTAGCACATAAATAACATAAACTCGTTACATATCCCGTTACATTACACGCTCGTGCTATCATTAGTCTTGAAATTAAATGGTTAACAAATGCTTTCGCCTAACAACAACCTACGTCCAATGAAAGGGAGCCTTGCAGTGTCAGCTTTCGCGACCACACTCGGAGCCCCCAGACAGACAATGGCGATGGCATCGAAGAAGCTGGAATGTGGGGCCATGACCACCACGGGAGCGTCCCGCGAGTTGGCAGGCAGGTGGTGCTTCCCCAGCACCTTGATGCGGTGGAAACCAGCGGCCACCACCACCAGGCGCATGAGAGAGAGAATGGAGAAGCGCAGTTTGCTGCCGGTCCAAAAAAATAGCGTCTTTAAACATGTAATGCCTGAATAGGTGGGAATTAGAAATTATTTAATAAAAAAAAACTTTATAAGGCATTTCTGGTAGTGTTATATACTTTTATTTATTTTTCTATCCGTTCCTTGATTACATATATATAGAATAGCAATGTAATACTTTCTTATTAACTATGTTAAATATATTTATATATATTTTACTTCATCACATAGCTAGAGTATACTAGTGACCCGCCCTGACTTCACACGGGTGCACTGTAATGTATTCTTCCTTTTTAATAAATTAAAAACACTCACTGATAATGTAGTTTTCTATATGATAAAGAGACATTTATAAGCATAGAAAGATAATGAAAATCGGTTTAGTACTTTTTGAATAATAACAAAAAATAAATATTATCGATATTACATTCTTTACTAAAATCAATTTAAATAAATATTAAAATATATTATCAATCACTTTCAAATTAAGAACATGACATTAAAAGAAGAATAAAATAGTTTAATAGACTAATTAGAAGTGAGACTATTTCAATGAAGAGGTTAGTTTTTCTTTTTTATTAATAGCAATCTCTAGGTTATAATTATTTAAAGTGATCGAAAAACCAGTGTTACCATTTCTAAAATTATCCAACAATTGTATCCAATGGTATCACTGATTCTCTACATACCAGTACCTAGTTGCAAACCGGTTATATGAATGGACACCCACTTTATGAATCACAATTCGAAGCCACACTCGAATATACTATTACAAAGCTGTCATTACACATTATTTTTTATATTGTAACCAATTTTATATTGCACTTAAAGTGTCATAACAAAATTACTTAATAACATAACTTTTATGAAAGTATATACTCATAAATAATTGACTATTAATAATAATAGGAACGGGTTATTTTAAAAATTTTTAGTTCTTTGCTTTAAGATGTTTGTTATTCAACTATACATTAATTATATCATACCAGCTACCCGCCCTGGCTTCGCACATGTTTATATGTATACTTTCCTCTTATATCTATACTTTCCTCTTGAATCACTCTATATATTGTAGTTACTAGAACTACATTAAAATCACCACAGTTGCAGACCACATACCCACCGGTGGACCACACCGCAACGAAAGCAAATTTACACGTTGGGACCGGATGATGCACAAGTGACCCATGGGCACTTTAATTGAAATAAATCTAGGGGTTAAATAATCATCATCTGCTACCTTATCCCATTTATTTGGGGTCGGCGTAATATGTTTTTAGGGGGTTGAAATTATCTACCTCAAATTATTGTACACTAAAAACATATTTAAAAAATAATATACCTACGTAATTAATAATAAAAAAATGCCGGTCCCTGTGAGAAATAAGTATCTCCATGCGCTCTTTAAACCCCTCCGATCGATCCCCCGTCCAATTCAAACGGGGATCGAAATTACGACGGCCTGAGCCGAGGTTCGAACCCCTAGTGGTGCCCTCAGACTAAAGTCGTATCCGTCGGGCAGGAGTTGGCCTTCAGCCGCTCCATAAGTCCTTCCGCGGGTTTGGAGTGCCATCTGCACTCGCCCCATAACGTCCGGTGAAGTTGTAAAGGCCAGCTACGGCCAACAGCATTAAAAAAAAAAAAAAAAAAAAAAAAAAAAAAAAAAAAAAAAACAAAAAAAAAAAAAAAACAAAAAAAAAAAAAAAAAAAAAAAAAAGCGCTCTTCAATGTTTTAAAAGATCTACGCGAACAGATAGCGGAAGCGACTTACTTCACTTTATACTATGTCGTAAAGAGGCATGACATCTTAATGCTCTGGAATGACAACGCATGAATCGTATCACAAGTGTCATATGATAACGTTACTGCTCACCATCAAGTGGACTGTAAAAGATTGCTTCGAGCGATAAGGCCGCCTTTTGTTTTAAAATTATAATGTTGTTTTTTTTGAAATTATTTGTTTTGTTTTTTTTATACACTATAAAGAGTTTTATTCAAATTCTAATTCAAAAATCCTTTATTCATGTATGTAGGACATTTTAGCCGCTTATGAACGTCAAATTTTTCACATTATAATTTTATTTAATCCGTCCAGTGTATTATTATTATTATTTATTATTATCATAATGTACTGTTATCCTAATAAACGCGAACAAAACCACTGATTAAGATAGTTTCTGAATAGTAACTACACTTTACAATTCTAGTGTACATTAACGCAATATTAAAAAAAATATGTAGAATGAAATAGTGTCACTTTAAGTGGACATAATTGAAGTGGATAAATTCAAATCAAACTATTTACATTTCACTTTATATAATCACTTGTGTACGAGCAGCCGCACATGCCTGCTTAATACACAATACACAATTACCTACACATGCAATTTCACCTCAATACATTTCACCTCATTATATTTATTTTAGTAATAAAAATCAGTGTTCATGTAGCATTCAACCAAGGCGGTTTTATTTAGCAAAAACCCCTCATCAATCAATCAATCAATATATCAACTAATATCATTGTCACGGAACTGTGAGCTTAAACCCCTACAACTTGTAAATATTGAAAATTCATAATGCTGACGTTGCAAAACTTTGAATAAATTAATATGCAATAGTGTTCGTGTAGCATTCAACCAAGGCGGTTTTATTTAGCAAAAACCCCTCATCAATCAATCAATCAATCAATATATCAACTAATATCATTATCACGGAACTGTGGGCTTGAACCCCCACAACTTGTAAATATTGAACATTCATAATGCTGACGTTGCAAAACTTTCAATAAATTAATATGCAATAGTGTTCGTGTAGCATTCAACCAAGGCGGTTTTATTTAGCAAAAACCCCTCATCAATCAATCAATCAATCAATCAATCAATATATCAACTAATATCATTATCACGGAACTGTGGGCTTGAACCCCCACAACTTGTAAATATTGAACATTCATAATGCTAACGTTGCAAAACTTTCAATAAATTAATATGCAATGATGCATCCGCTTGCTACAACGGAATACGCTGACGGGGCACCAGTAGAAGATGATAGAATAGAAATAATCTTAATTCAAACAAAATTAATGTTTTTTCACCTTACATTTTCCTATAGTCATTTAGTATATAAGATCAACATTTCTATGTACATATTGTCAGTCTGTTATCATCTTTAATTACATTTCAACCAACAACATAGTGTCATTATCCCGCAACATTAGCACTTTTGAATAGGTATTTTTTTTTTCTATCGCTCATTCGGAATTCATCAAACTCATTACAAGAAGTACGAGAAAGAAACTTGCGTGTTGCTCTATCTCAATCTAAAATCAAATCTCTCCTCTCTAGTATTCTAAGTCTTTAGATATGATATTAGTTTATATTCAAATTATATGTGATACCATAAAATATGTAATAGCAATATTAGTTTTATTATATACTAGCGGGTAGCTAAAATAATCTGCTTAGAAGTTTAGGATTCCATCGGAAACAAACAATCGGCTGAAAACAATTTTTCAGCCGATTCGCACGGATGCATTACAAATCTTTGAATTTTTCAGCTTGTTCTATATTATAACATGCATGTATTATAGCTATAAACGTTCCTCTTGGATCAGAGTGATCTATTGCTGAAAACTGCATTAAAATCCGTTGCATAATTAAAAAGATATAAGCGTACAAATAGTGGGAGCGACTTCATTTTATACTATTTAAGATAATTATTATTAAGTTTATTTGAATAAAGATTTTTTTTATTCTATTTCTATGCTATTCTATTATATCCACCTACTCTATTTTTACTAAATTCTCTCTTTCCAAAGATTGTCTAGAAGATATTACATCATCATCATCATTATATAGTATAAAACAAAGTCGCTGTCGCTGTCTGTCCTTCCCTATGTGTGCTTAAATCTTTAAAGCAAAGGATTTTAAAGCGATTTTTTTAAATAGATAAAGTGATTCTAGAGGAAAGTTTATATATATATAATGCATGTACACCCGTGCGAAGCCGGGGTGTGTAGCTAGTTAGCGATAAGACCGTCTTTTGTATTTAGTTTTATTTTTTTATGTTTTAATTTTAATAATGTCCTTTCTATGTTGGTGCAATAAAGTGTTATATATAAAAAATAAAATAAATATTAATAAAGATTATTTCTACTCTATTTTAATAAACTATAGACATATACACATGCCGTGATGTGACTATAGATGTGGGTCAATTCACCCAAAGAACCTCACACAAACATTTGTGATGTGACTCTCGCTCGCTTTCTAGCTGCATGGCAACTATCAACTGATTGTACAACGCCGCACGTACACTCGGCTGCATAAACATGTTAAGTCATTTAGTTGAATAGTTATTTTCATTTATTAGAGTATTTGTCTATCTATCTACTGTAAAATTATGGAATGCAAAGCTTAAATAAATAAAATAAATAAATATTTATATTAATTTATGGGAATATTTATTTTCATTTATTTGAATAATTATTTGTTACGAGGGATTTTTAATTATTAACGATCTACTTTAGAAATGAATATAAATCTTATGACATCTTTCACATTATTAATATAGTTAGACTAGTTTTTATGGCAACTAAAGATTTAAACTTTATTTGCCATAAAAATATTCGTAAACCTCTCTCGAAATTTCGATTAGATTGCACTAGTCATAGAATATCATTAATTTGTACTAAACGCGGAGTATATTTCAGCTTTCTAAATTCATCCATTATATACCTACATGCAACGTAGTAAGTTCCATATTTCAGCGTCAACGAAAGAATTAACTGATGTTGTTATAGATTTATTTTGTTTGGTATTCATTACGTTTTAATAGAGCAGTACAAACTGGATACACTGGATTTGATTGAAATCAATATGAGTTGACCAGCTGGTTCATGAATAATCACGTCAATAAATAAGCTCTCAGATATTCAGGGCCTAATTATATAACGATCTTATTAATAATTCACGATAATAACGAATAAAAATTAGTGGTATGGAGTTTCTCAATGTTTTTTTTTATTTTAGTCACACTTATAGATCTATAGGCAAAGAGTCTAAGCCCATACAGCCATTGACTTTCGGATCATTTTGAGAGTTTAGTTCACAAATTGTTGTTATATGACAATGGGTAAATATCGTGATGTAATTTTTTTAAATCTAATATATCTAAGTATTAAAACGCGAAATAGAAATAATCTTTATTCAAAGAAACTTAACTTAGTTAGTATAAGTATTTTAGAATAGTCATATTTTTTTTATTTTACCGCTCATTTGGAAAACAGACTCATCACAAGAAGAATGAACAAGAAACTTGCGTGTTACTCTTTTAAATAAATGTTGTTAAAATTTTAACTAGAACAAAAATTTCAAAACATTTCCACTTTATCTGCATTGAAACTAAGTTTTAAAATTTGTAAACGAGTTTTATTTAATACTTTTCCCGGATAAAAACTTTCAGCTTTTACATTTTTTTTCCACACAGTTATAACTTTGTTTAATAGTATAGATACACTCGACTTTTACTTTAAAAATTACATATGTGACGTAACATTAAAGAGGGAGTAGTCACAATAAAATGGCAAACGGTGTGACACATGAAATATTTGAGCTGTGCCTTGAGCTGTAGTTACAGCTCAAAAATAATTAAATTCATGTGACGTAAGAAATTAGTGAACCCTTACAATAGAATTTTAAATAAGATCGTTACATAATTAAGATCCTGCTCGTACTACGTAAATATGTAGCTGTAGTTATACCCCTAGATGGGACACACTATTATATATGTTCCGTATTCCGAACTTCCTTCTAAGCAGATTGTTTCACCGATTTGCTTACTGGAGCAAAGGGCGCTTGGAAATACTGGCCACAAATAAAAACTTGTGGCCACTTAAATTTTGAATATAGAAAAAAGTAAATTGAAAATAAGAATTGAATGAAAAAGCACGCTCCGTATTTTAACTATTTTAAAACAAAAAAATTACTGATTTACTTATTTGATATAATATAATTTCTTTTATCAAAATATACACGCTAGAGTGCATGGCCACGAAACTAAACTAGACATCGAGACGTTCTTGAGCAAAATTGAGTAAGTTTGGTGTTACTTTGCTTACTTTGGGGTGTTCGGAGTGTGGAAGACGTTTTTCTTGGGTGAAATTGTATTTCTCCTTTCTTTTCCTATAATTATTTTCTTTTCAAAATATACAGTCCACTCTCTATTTTTATTTATTCTATATACGGATTCGTAATCCCACAATGTAGCTTGGTATATCCCTAGGTGGGGCCTGCCTTACACCATCTACAGGGCGGGCCAACAGATGCAGATTCACGGTAGAATGCTAATGCGACCACGCGACTCCGGCAATGGCGCTCATAGGTACACCGTGTGGTTTTTTTTTTTGGGTGAGAATCCTATACGCCCCTTATCATCTTGTACCGGCTTTTAACGATTTTTCCACAGGTTAAAACAGAAAAAAAAATAGTAGGTATCCCTGAATCGTTTTTAGTAAAACATACAAATCTGAATAGAACCTGTCTATTTCCAATTAACAATCAAATAGCTAACACAAGAAACAACAACTAGTGGTAATGATAAACTCAAATCTCATAATGCAAATATGTAAATTACCTACATAATTATCTTAAGTTTTTAATTAAACGGGTCACTTCAATGACATATTAATGTTGTTGATGAGAAACGGTTAAACAAACAATCTAATTAACATTAATTTTTCAATTGAATCATCAAGAATACTTATCTACATTGTAATTTTAATTAATAATATTACGGCGATATAGGTATTGAAATTGAATTTATTAATATCTATATAGAAAACGTAATTAATAATTAAAAATATCTATTAGATAATTACAATAAAGAATATTTATTTTATTACATAATTAAACCAGTGTTTGCCATAAATGCAAATCTATGATTTTGTTACATTATACGAAAACCGGTGTTTACCGATAAATAACCGGTAATTAAAAATGTAGCTAAATGTTTGCACAACTTTCTTTATTTTCATTCGACCGACGCCATGTTTTCGCGGCAATGCCAACGCGCTGACATTATTGACGCGTTCCACTCTTCCAACGATAATTTAAACGATGTGACACAGCATCACAATAGTGTGCTGACCTCAGCAACGTTGTCATGCCATCAAGGCCAATGCAGGTAGATCTATTATCGAGCAACGCTCTACATTTGGAATGCATCTGACACACATAGAAATGTAATTATAATAATAATTTTTAAATAATATAAGAATATAATCTATTGTAATATCTTTGTAACGACTGCAAAATTGTAAATGAATAAATATTTAGTTATATTTATATAATTGTTATTACGTGTGTAATTTTTAGGCTTAGTAATAAATACTTACAAGAAAAAACAACTAAAAAAGGTCTGAATAAAGGGCTATAATAAATAATCAAAATAAATATTTGCATGCCTACTGTAAAAAGACATAACAGCGCTGCCTGCTGATATCGCTGTGGCATAATTGTTTACTTGTATGTCTGTAATACAACTAAATGACTTACTTACTTTGCAATGAAAGTCGTAAGTGCAACAACCGTTGCACTTACGACTATGTTGTATTTTGTACATAGTAACTTTCCACGTCATTTAATAAAGAGAAATTCTTGGACAGTGTAAGTATCAATGTTTACGTAACGGATAAACATTGCGCTTGCACAGATGATAATAATCGACATTTGTTTTTTAGTTTTTGTTTTATAAAGTTATTTTGTTTTAGTAATTTGTAGAGGAATATTGAAATTAATTAAGTAATAAATTATGCACTTTTAATAAGTATATAATGTAGCTTATTTATAATATATATATAAATTGTTTTATGTAAGATTCCTTAGTATATCTTAGATATAATAATTTGTTAATAATCATAACATGAGCAGAGGTCATGTCAGGTTCGAAATTTGAATATAAGTAATTGTCGCTACATTTTTTTCTTTTTTTTAGGACCAAATGACAATGACATTTTTTTTTCTATAGTTCACCGAATATGAAGACGTTGGATGTATATTTAACTATTAAATTGTTTCATCATGAGCGAGGTTTTATCTGAAACTTAACCTACAATTTTTTTTATTTTTATATTTATTATCAATTTTTACAATATAACATTAAGTATGTGACATTTTTCTTTTTTTTTTTGGAACCAAATGACAATGACGAAATTCTTTGCTTATAGTTGACCGAATATGATGTCGTTAGATATAGATTTATCTATTTAATTGTTTCATTATGAGTGAGATTTTATCAGAAACATAAACAACAAAATATAATTTTTCTTATTTTTATATTTATTATATTTTTTTATATGCAATATAATATTATATGAATTTATTTTTTTCTTTGGGACTAAGTGATGATGACAACATCTTTTGCTATAGTTGACCGAATATGATGTCGTTGGATATAGATTTATTTATTTAATTGTTTCATCATGAGCGAGGTTTTATCACAAACTTAAACTACAATACAGTTTTTTTTTTATTATATATTTATTATATTTTTTTATATGCAATGGAACTAGCAACGTAAAAGAATTGGTAATTGTAGAGCTATACATAGAATATATCTGACTTTGTCAATTTAAACGTTGACCGTAATAGACTGTGCATTGTTGCGAAATAATAATAAAGTAAACGACTTTGTCTGCTATTAAAGTAAAATAAATAGAAACCGTTTTAAATAGATTTGATGTAGCATACAAAAACCTTCACGGTACTCGTTTATTGTTTAAGACGCGCCTTGAACTATTTCCAAATTGTTAGATTCAAAATATACCTAACTTTCTTGCGTTGTTACTATTCATTTAGGCACCTAATATCGTAATAATACTCACAACCAAATAAAGTGAAGACAGAAAAGAAAAACAAGTATGTGGAAAGAGGATTTATGCGTTTCATTTTGATTATAGTTTTTAATTATTATTTTTAAATAAACATTTGAAGGAGTTGACAGAACGTAGTATGATGTAAAGACGAGTTTAATGCGTAAATTAATTAATTAATATTATATGACTATTCTTCAAGTCTCACCTATATTATTCTGTTTTTATATCTTAATATCTATCATTAAATTACACGCCTTATTATCTCTGATCAACGCGACGGTTGACTGGTAGAGAATGCCATCAGGCATTAAGAACATGCCGTACTTAATGCCTGATGGCATTTTTACAATTTTTTTTAATTCAATTTTGTGTTCAAAAGAATAAAACCTCATCACTTTAGAAATATAGATATATAAAAAAAATATATGGTATACACCTATTTCTACGAATATTTAAAAGGAAGTCAAAAATTAATAAATAAATGTTGACTAATGAATGATATTAATTCTTATGATAGTAATAATTTAATTCTAAATTATGATAACGATCTATTGCTATTATAATCCTATGATTATAATGGCAAGCCTATGCTTTTTAAATGATATTATTGCTGTTTAAAAAGTAACTTTAACACTGAGTCAATTAAATTTATTATAGAAAACTATTTCATTTTATATTACTAATAAATAAAGTAAAATTAAAAAAAAATAGAGATGTTCTTATTACATTTTATGTAATTGCTTATTAGGTATACTGTACATAGATAAAACACACCTTCTCCATCCGGTCATAGGTTTTCTTCTCAAGTCTTCTTCACTGAGGCCATATAGACCTATACAGGCAAGGAACCAAGCGGTGACTATCAAGTAGCATATTACTATAACCCTAAACGGCAGTAGTATGACTGTGAATATCGCCGTCTGAAACAAAGAATAATATACTTTAAGTATAGGTAATTAAAATTCAAAACTCGTATCTATTTCATAACATAAATCTATCATATATGTATGTAAATTTGATACCTCAACAACACATATTTAATGTGTGTTACTAATAATGTGTATTCGCGTGAAAAAGTAACAAACATTGATCCATACTCACAAACCTTCAATTTTATAATATTAGTTTTTTATGGATGATAATGGAATGGTGCACCCGCCTGCGCTAACGGTTTACGCTGGCGGAGCACCAGTGGAGGATGATAAGATGAGCATGAGGTCAGGTCAGTTAGGCGATCGTGACAAATTCACTAGGAATTTATCATGATGGTTTCCAGGGGGAACCGTGTGGAGGTCAAGCTGATATGGTGCATTGCTAGTAACGGGGTCATGAGTCCACATTACTAACAATGCCCTTCCAATAATATTAGTAAGATAGATACGATGGGATGGTAATCGTCATTGTTATGGGTACTAAACCCATAACACAAGCTTTAGCTAACTTAACTTGGGTCTAGATGGCGTTATGTGAATTGTCCTGAGATTATTATTATTAGAATAATATAAATTAAATTCTTAAGAACACATTAAATAATATTCTTTCACATTGCTTGATTTCTTTCTTTCTTCAACCGGTCAAATGTAGCTTGCGTGATCATGAATAATGTGTGCCAAATTCCAAATATACCCAAATTGGCAATTTAAGTTGCAATTTTGTTCGTACCTAATAAACTGTTCCGGCTATTTCAATGTACGTATTCTAAAAATAGACTAATCATACCATCATTTATCTTTATCTAAAATTATACTAAATTGGGCACCTACTTGTAAGATGCTGGAGAAAACTATTGTCTAGATTATACATAATACTGTCGTTCTTTAAGATAACTGCCTACGATCCTGTACTTATAAGATGACAGAGAAAATTATTATATGATACATTGCTAGCTACTCGCCCCGGCTTCGCACGGGTGTACATGTATTATATATATAAACCTTCCTCTTGAATCACTATATAGATTAAAAAAACTGCTTCAAAATCCGTTGCGTAGTTTTAAAGATTTAAGCATATATAGTGACGGACAGACAACGACAGCGACTTTATTTTATACTATGTTCTTTTAGATTACTATTTACGCTTAGTTCTGCAATTGCAAGCTTTTACGGTACAAATGAAATAATTGACAGCCTCGGTGGTATTTAGGATTAGCAAACCGCTTTATTTACTATGGTCGCGGGTTCAATTCCTAGCACGGTACAATTCTTTATTCTTTTATTTCAGATCAACACAGTATGTCGTCGTTCACTGATTTGTTTTTATAGTATAGTATAGTATACAGCTTCAGTGGGCTAGACTTAGCACTTTGCTTTTCTTCCGATGGCCACGGATTCGATTCCTCGCACGGTACAAACGTTTGTATTCATGAGTATGATTGTTTGTATCGGTCCGGACTTAAATTACAAGGATACCAGTGTTTCCCAACGTGGGAAATATCAATTTGATTGTTAAGAGGGTCAATTCGAAAATAAACTCATTAAAATGATATAGAATGCGAATTTCAATTCTTCATTGAAAATTTACTTACTGTTTCATTAATAATTTCCGAATGATTTCTTCCTAAAAAAGTTTCTTAAGTAAACAATCCATTATTTTTTATGTTTCAAATTATGTATGTTACACATGCATAAGAATTTTAGGAAAGCTAAGGTGGGTCATGGCCCTTAAAAGGTTGGGAAACACTGATCTAAACTAATAATATCTATTTTCTGGCCTGGCCTATATCACAGCTGACATGGCCTTTAAGTTACTTGGAAGGTCACTTTATAATTAATGTTTAAAAATATCACGCTATTTAATATTTGCACGTAGTGGAATTAATTTTTCATTTCATTCAATATATTTTATACTTTAGATATTGTAATATTCATTTTATTTCTAATATAAACTTCGTATTAATCTCTAATATATACTTAAAGTAGAATTTTGCATGTGCTCAAATATATTGGTACCTATTTTTCAAATAAATAAATTCATATTTTAGATAGTAAACTACTATGATTCATTCATTCATAATTTAAGAGCTACGCTCTTGTCGGTGGAGCTCTTGCCACTACTATGATATGTATTATTAATATTTAACTGTTGTATATAATTGCTAGAGAGTTTTAGGTAAATTTGTCATTGGATGCTGTACTTAGCATATATTTAAATACCGCTAAAATGGCTAAATCTGGTGAAATCCATTTTTAATCTCAAGAATTTTTATATATTACTAACCGCACCCGCGACTTCGTCCGCGTAGAATTTAACTCTATTTTTCGAAAATAAAAGTAGTCTTTACTCCTTATTACATCAGCTATCTGCCAATAAAAGTCCCGTCAATATCGGCCCATCCATTTCAGAGATTAGCCGGAACAAACAGACAGACAAAAATTGTAAAAAATATAATTTGATGTATGTACCGTATTTATATTCATATGCATGTAATCAAAAACGGTTACTTCAATATTACAAACAGACACTCCAATTTTACTTATATGTACAGATATTGCTATATTAATTTTAATTACTAACATATGTTTCTTATTACTCTAACTTAAAATTCATAGCTCTAACGTAGCGGTTTATATGTTGATTGTCGCATGCCTAATCCTTGTTGGTAATTAAATATAAGTAAATCAATATTTATTTAAAAGAGCAACACACAAGTTTCTTGCTTATTCTTCTTGCAATGAATCTACATTCCGAATAAGCGGTAGAATAAAAAAACTTGCCAATCCAAAGTGCTCATATTAAGTTTATTTGAATAAAGATTATTTCTATTTCTATTTCTCTCTATAAATGTTATACAGCTGTAACATACTGTGTTGTCTACACAGATACTTTCCCTCAAAGATGTACGGGTAACTGTTCTGACCATCGCTTTTAGAGCGATGAACCTGTCATAGTTGTTCAATTTGCTGTTTTCTACCATAAAGTCATTTACGCTTAAGTGTTTTCTCGTTCTATTATTAGCAGGAAGCAAGTACACCCGTTGTTATGACCACAATGCAAGTTAATCGACAGTATTATATAGCTGCTCTGCTTTTTTGTTTTAAAATTAGTAATTACATCAAGAAGTTTATCTATACATCTATATATACCTATATACTCGTAAATAAAATTGGAGTGTCTGTTTGTAATATTGAAATAACCGGTTTTGACTACTTGCATATGAATATAAATACGGTAGATACACCAAAATTACATTGTTTACGATTTTTGTCTCTCTGTCTGTCTGTTTGCTCCGGCTAATCTCTGAATTTTGGCAGGAAACTGATGTAATAAACAACCTAGGCTACTTTTATTATAGAAAAAATATTTTAATTTAGAAAAACAAAGTTACATTCCACGCGGACAAAGTCGCAGGAACATCTAGTTGTAAATACAGTATACAGTTACAAATAGCTCACTTAAAAATAATAAATATATAGGTACATATATATAAGACATCAAATTTATATGTATGTTTGTTATACTTTGTAATATGTATATATTTATCAACATTACAGTTGCTCTGTAACAGATTTAAATAACAAACATATCAGAATTACGTGAATCTATCAAAGTAACACCGCGTACGCAATATAGTAATACGATACAGTAGTACGCGATATAGTAAGAGACTGTGTAAAATGGAAAACGAGACTCCAATAGTGGTTTGATCACAGATTATATAATAATACTAGCATCTCCCGCGACTTCGTCCACGCGGAACTGTCTTTTTTAATTAATAACATTTCTAAAATAAATGTGTACCCTAAGTTATATATGATTTATCTGTGAATTTCGAGTACGTTTCACAACAAACAGACAGTTAAAATTTTTTTCGTTATTTATGTAAATATGCATATGCGTACTGTACTTGCATTTGCATTTACTCAAAAGCTGTCTATTATGCCCTATTTACACTCAGCCAGTGTGGGTAGGGAAGTGAGCAGCGCGAGAGTGTAAACACGAGTGGAAACACTTCCCATGCCATTGGCGCTGCCACTCGCGCTGCTCGGCGCTCCCTCGATTGTCGGTTTTTCGTGCGCGAGTCAAAGGACTGGCAGCGCGAGTGGCAGCGTGCGTGTGTTTACATTCAGCCCTCTCGCTCAGTTGTCGCCCGGCAATATTTCCGGCAGCGCGAGTGGCAGGGGAAGCGGCTGAATGTAAACGTATCATTAGAAATTACAGCAACACTTCAATTGTATTCATATGTATAAATTTAGAAGTGTTTTACTATTCACAATTAAGAAAAATCAATAGATTTGTATGCTTAAATACTTTAGAATACAAACTTGGACTAACTAAATCTGATTGCCAAATAGCACCACAAATAATTACGTATTTAGATTATACAAGTCGTGTACGAGACCTCTTCTTGGCATCGATGCGTACAATGAATACCAATATAATTGAACCTTGTTACAAATTTAGTGTCATGTCCTTAACAAACGGTCATATAGAATAAATACTTAGTGAACACTCGATTTTCATTTTAATGGCTGATAATGGAATGGTGCACCCGCTTACGACAATGGTATACGCTGGCGGGGCACCAGTGGACGACAAGATGAGCATGAGGGCAGATCAGTTAGCCCATCGCGAGATATTCACCAAGAATTTATCACGATGGTTTCCAGGTCCGCATGGAGATCAACCTAACATAATAGTAATATTATAATAATAATCTCAGGACAATTCACACCGCACCTTCTAGACCCAAGTTAAGCTAGCTAAAGCTTGTAAGACTAGTAACCTCGATGGTCTAGCGGTCTAGCACGCCGCTTTACCACTAATGGTCGCGGTTTCGATTCTTCGCACGCCACAAACATTTGTATTCATGAGTATAATTGTTTGTATCGGTCTGGGTGTTTTCTATTTCCCTTTAAAAACGTATCCTCATTATTGTGTCCTTATAATTCAATTTGGAATTCCGACCATTCAACATCATTACATAGTATAAAACAAAGTCGCTGTCGCTATCTGTCCGTCCCTATGTATGCTTAAATCTTTAAAACTACGCAATGGATTTTGAAGCGTTTTTTTTTAATAGATAGAGTGATTCTAGAGGAAGGTTTATATGTATAATACATGTACACCCGAGCGAGTAGATAGTTGAAGTCATAAGTGGATAGATGTAGTTTCATAAGTAGTTTTAACTATAATTAACTGATTGACGCACTAAAGCGGGAGAATATCATGAGAAAATATTAGAACATATTTCTCTATCACTTGTGTGAATTTTATAAGTGAGCATTCTGTCTGTATGGTGAAAAATGATAGAGCGCAGTAGGAAAAATCTATCTAGTGTCGCAATCTATACAAATAAATAAAACTTAAGTATTTGTTTGTAATTTCAAATTAACAGCTTTTCACTAAATGCGTATAAAATATGAACTGTACTGACATACATCAATAAAATAAATAAAACAGTATCTGTTAGTTTGTTCCTGCTAATCTCTGAAACGCTTGGTCCGATTTTGACTGGACTTTCTCTCGCAGATAGCTAACATTATAAGGAGTAGGCTTGGCGAGGATTGAGGATCTGTGATCACAGACTAGTATTCAACAATGAAATTCCTGGAATAACGTGTGGTGAGAATTCCCTGCATGTACTAAATACACGATTAGTTTAGAATAAGCTTCTAGGTTTATAGCTACGATTAACAATACTCAACTATCTGCATACTTAAAAAGAAATACAGTCGCCTACAATTATAGCTGCATGAGACCCTTGAACTGTGACTGGCTTCTATTTTCGTATTTTTATCCTGCAACTGTATTCTGGATTGTCTAATAGCTTGATTTAAAATACTCAGGTGTCTGCATACTTTAAAAAAAATACAGTCGCCTGCAATTATAGCTGCATGACACCCTTGAACTGTGACTGGCTTCTTTTTTCGTATTTTTATCCTGCAACTGTATTCTGGATTGTCTAATAGCTTGATTTTAAATACTCATGTGTCTGCATACTTTAAAAAAACACAGTTGCCTACAATTATGCAAGAGAGAGCAAGAGATTCTTGAATTGTGACTGGCTGCTTTTTTGGAATTTTTATCCTGCAACTATATTCTGGATTGTGAAACCTTTTATGTATTGAAGATTATCAAACCTTTGAAATGTGTACTTAATATTTGTCATTTTGTTTAGACACATATTTTTAAAAACCTGCTTTTTAGATTATGACTAGATAACTCTGTGGGATATATCCAGGATTACTTATTTATATAAAAATAACATCTGTTTATTGTAAATCATATTTCATCTGAAATTATCTAAATAGATCGAATAAATTGATACTTTTGAAAGTTCTACTTTCGTCGGTCATGGCGTTTTCAATATATTCTAAAACAAACCAAAAAAAATCACCTTACATTTCTTCAACCGACGTTGCTTAAAAGATTTTGAAGTAGAAATAGAAATCTTATTAGAGAGTCTTATTTTACGATAATCCAGTCACCTCTGATGGTAATTACCTATATAATAAAGAATGTAGGAATAAGCATGAAACTGTGATGATACTGTGAACTATCTAAGCATCTACTCATAAAACAACACGACGAAGAAAGTCACATAAAAAATAAGCACAAATTTCTAATTTCTCCATATTACAATACGGTCTTATTAGATAAAAAAAAATAGAGAAATCGTATTAAAAATATAAACAATAAATTAAGAATGTCGCCAAAATATTATCATCTCTCATTCCATTATTATTTATTTGATGAATCTTTACTTTTTCTACAAGATCTAAAACACGAGTCTGCGCAAATGGGCTAGTGTGCACTCACTTAATCTTTAACATAATCTGTTATGTTTTTACCAAAATTAAGACGCGCCATACAAATTGCGGTCAACTGCATACCTTTATTTTGTCGTATGTGTTATCTAGTTCCAATTTATGGACGAAAGGGTTCAATATTTCGGCGCGCATGCCGTCAGATGAGAAAGCACCGGTTTCACTGTGCAATTTACCATTCATTTTCACTTCGGACACAATCTAAACCGTACAATCAAATTTATTTACACTACTAACACTCATCTTACAGCATCTTTCAGATCATAAAATATTACTTTTACGTATTATATATGTTAAACTGCAACCAATGACGTGTTTATAAAGAAACAAATCGCACCCGAGACAGACGTAGTTTCAACGTCAATAGAAAGTCGAGACTAAATATTTTTGTACTATTCAGAGAGGTCGACCTATTGGTTAATTTTTTGACAGTTACTTGAATGCAATCGACCAGTGAACGAATTTGGCCGAATGTAGCCGAATCAATACGAAAAATGTAATGTTATTTACTATTTAAAAATTTTACAACTCAAATAATTATAATAATAAGATAAACATGAACTATTTTCATACGCATTATATATACAACTTAATTGTGGTCCTTAATGTTAAATTCTTAAGGTATGAAATACAAAAACTGGTTTATTACACTTTTTATTAGCGATTCACAGCCTCTCTAAGTATAGCATTTACAAGGTAAGTGTTAAGAACTCTTTGATTTAAGTATATAAAATATACCTGAAAAATATACGTTCGTTGTCAGCTTTAAAATATTAGAAATAATGGACTGTAAATTTAGACTTCAACGTGAATACGAAGTATAAAGTGAAGAATAATCTTCTTCACTATCTACTTAAGTAGTAAAGTAAAATATTTTATATTTTAATTCCTCATTTATTAATGTCCTATCTTCGACCCTAATTACAATTATAATTATTTATGTATATGTATATATTGAGTTTGCTGTACAGCCCAATGGTATGATTCCTAAAATTTCTGATAATCCTCTTCAAGACCAAAGTAAAGTTTCCGTAATTTTATATTTATATATAGGATGTATGAATAACATTAACAACAAATAACTTAAGACAGTAATTTCAATGTTTTTATTATATGTTTATTAATACTAATACATGTAAACTTAAAACAATAACAGTCGCCATAAACTTACTGTCTGTCATTGTGTGTCATTCATTGAACAAACCGTCATTCATTCTTTCGCCTTTCATTCATTTTCTGTTTTTTCATACTTCCCAAACAAAATTATACTTTATAGCTTGGTTATTTTTTGGCGAACGTTTTATTTTTCTCTTTCAAATTTTTTTATTCCAAACATCGGAATGCATTATGGCAGAAAAGATTCAAAAGCAAATAATTGATTACTTTTCATTCTTCGAAGAATTTTTCGTCACTTCCAAAACGTGTTTGAAAGATTGCCAAGAGTGCGCCGTATCTATAAATAAGCTAATAAAACGCTGCAGAAACATAGAACAGTGAGTTTTTTACATTTTTATGATTTTTTTTTTATTAAATAGTGCATTGTTAGCGTCACGTGAGTCTTATGATTTTGTAGCTCGCCCGTGCTTTATAACATGGTCTTTGTATAACATTCAAAGCAATGGTATCACGCATTTTCTGATGTTTTGATAAGATATGATAGCAAATTTGGTAATCGACATGTTTTGTATAAATGTATTTCATGTTTTATATCTCTGTTTGTTTATATAACCTTCATATTGTCACTGCAAGTACAGTACAAACGTTGTTTACTAAAGACTGGCAAAGATTAAACATAATCTATTTGGTATATGATCATATTTATATTAACATTATAAATGTGCAAGTAATAATAATAATCTTTATTAGTCTGAAATAATAAACTATTATAATTGCAGCTTAGAAAGAAATTAAAAAGTAATGACGAAAATTCTAAGGGAGTAGTGAGTCCACCCATGCATCAAATAAACAAACATACTTGTCTATTTGTTATCTTTTCACAAGTAAACTACAGAAGGGATTTTAATTAAATTTTATTTGAAGATATCTTGTAATATGAGGATGTTATAGCTATGTTTTACCTCAATAAAGCAGATGAAGTCGCAAATAACAACAAGTTATATAATGTTTGTTTATTCCACTATGGTGTCAAATTGAAGCAATATAGTTTGGAAACCTAGTGTTAATTGTTCAGTGACCAGACTACTGAATAGTCGACAAATTTAGAGGCAAAACATGTGTCGCAATAAAGGTAGATACATGTATAATAATGTTCAGAATTTAATCACTAATAGTGAAGACACTAATATCTCTTATATTGGTGGTCAGGTTCCCGCACTGAACATTTGTTGTCTCACATATGCTAATGGTAGTAAGCATTAAACAAATCAATATGAATCCATTAAATAATTAAACAGATTGTAAAATAAGTACCTATTTCATCTATACTCTGTACATATAAATAAAATTTGAGTGTATGTTTGTAATATTGAAATAACCGTTTTTTAGTACACACATATGAATATAAATGTGGTACATACACCAAAATAACATTTCTTATCATTTTTGTCTGTCTGTCTGTTTGTTCCGACTAATCTCTGAAATGGCTGAACCTATTTTGACGGTACTTTTATTGGCAAGTAGCTGATTTAATAAGGAGTAACTTAGGCTACTTTTGTTTTAGAAAAATAAAGTTAAGTTCCAGCCTGACAAAGTCACGGGAATAGCTAGTAAAATATATAAATAGAAATATGTCATGAAGTGAAAAATTAATTTTTCACACCTTTAGTTAATCTAATTTTGTACTTAGTTTATACTTAAGTACAAAATCAGGTTAACTAAAGGTGTATAACTCAAGGATGAGAAGGAACTCATTCAAAATACATCCAAAATAATTTTAAATTTGTTATTGTTAAGGTTCAAGGTAAGTTGTATTTGTTGTCTATATCTTTATTATTGTTTTGTTTCAGCGCAGAAATAATTGGGTCCCCTCTAGAAGAGTTTGTGGATCTTCAGAGCAAACTGTCTTCCATTTTGCATAACTTGATTACAGATGAGATAAAAGTGATTAAAAGTAAATAGTAAGTACATTATATATCAATTAAATCTATACATCTATACATATAAATAAAATTGGAGTCTCTGTTTCTAATATTAAAATAACCTTTTTTTACTACATGCATATGAATATAAATACGGTACATACACCAAAATAACATATTTTTCTATATTTTTTGTCTGTCTGTTCGTTCTGGCTAATCTCTGAAAAGGCTGGACCGATTTTGATGTTTATATATATAATAATATATCTGTGCGAAGCCAGGGTGAGTAGCTATTAATGGTACAAAAGGAAGTCTTATTGTTTAAACAATCTCTTATAGACACTTATTTAATGAGTTGGTAATTAAAATCAAAAAGTAATATGGTATTTTTAAATAATTTCATATGACTCTATTAGTACTGTAAGACTTGCAGTTATAAAATTTTACCAAATACTGAATTAGTTTGTTTTAATAGAGTCAATATAAAACTTTGCATATATATTTTAACCATGCTGTTTTATGCATTCCAGTTGTACAATAGAAGATTTGTTTGAAAAACTACATAACAAACAGCAGGCGCTCCTTGAGACTTGCAGACAGACAGATTTAGAGCCTACCGCGCTATTAGTGAAAGGTACGCCACTTCAGCCACCTCTGAATCAATTGTTGGAGTTTGTAGAGGACACCATAACATTTGCAAGCCAAATCCACGCTCAGGTTGAAACATCCTTGAATATAATATCTTTTAAAGGATTGAACACAGAACCATTATACGAAAATTTTAAAATTACTACCAATTGGCAACAACGTATTGCCGAGATTTTAGCTTACACATCTTTCTGTTCTGAAAACAAAATTTAAACATGGATTTCCTCGATTCCATTCTGAATTCTATGCAGAAACCACCGAGTGCCAGCGAGGCACAGAAGAATGCTATGAAAAAACAGAAGGAAGCAATGGAACGCAAACATAAAGAAGAGAAGAACATGATAAATAGATTCAGAACGCGCCTTGAAGAGAAGATTAGCAAATTCATTAAAAATGGCACAACACCACATTTACAATTTGAGCCTATGGACCAAATGTACCGGTCTATCATAAGAGATGTCGCAGAGACTGCTGGCTTGCAAGTATTTTCATTCGGACAAGAGGGTATTGACCGGTATTCAGTGGTTTACGCAAAAGAAAAGGGCCCTTCAGAAGATGAGGTAACTGTGCGAAGAGCCGGAGGTATCTGGGACGAGGAGAAAGCTGCAGAAATGGCACAGAAACATTTAGATATGCAGAAACAAGCTGCCTTAGAGTCTGAAGAAGAAAATACGCGAAAACGTAAGCGTGGTAAAGAAGAGTTAAGTGGTACTTTTTATAAACAGAAATATGCGCATCTGATAGGCCAGGAAGCGGCGATCGATGCGGCGCAGAAGACAAATGTAAATAAGAGTTACGGTGAGGTACCAAGTGAGAATAAGAAGGATCAACGGTCCATAGAGCAGACTATGGCAGATATACGAGCTAAGAAACTAAGGAAGGCTGAGACTGCAACATTAAATACAGACTGTACTACTGAAACCTAGTGTTTACACAATTTAGGTTTAAATAAAATATTTAGGTCGAAATGTTTCTTATGATGTCCTATCATTATTACGTGTATAAGACATGAAGTGTCACAAGTGTTGAACATTGAATACATGTAGTGAGGTAAACTATTAATATCTCTATGTCACCTATTCTAGCCGGTAAGCATCTTGCCTTGTAGGATGTGTTTTGTTGAGTCAACACAGTCGAAATGCAGGGTAGAGAGGCATGACATCATTGTCCTCTGAAATGGTAATGCATGAGTGGCACCATTCGTCACATTACCATGGGATGTTTGTGGTGATCATGATTATGCGATATGCTTGTCCAGTTATATGAAAAAAAAGCAAACTATTGTTTTTTTTCTCTTTATAATATACTAGCACCCGTCCCGGCTTCTCACGGAGCATTACAATTCTTTGAATTTCTCGGCTCGTTCTGTACTATAACATCCATATATTATACAAATTCAAAATATCGTTATTCATATAGGTCTATTACAAACTTATGATATGTATAACTTTCCTGTTGAATTGATTTAAAAGATGTAAGGGAAAAGACAGGCGGCAACTATGTTTTATACCATGTAAAGATAATTTGTACAGAGAAATTTGTTGTTTGATAAGACAACATTTAGTTTATTTTACAACATGTATGTTAATGTAAGCACAGTTACAATGACTGAATGTATTATTTAAAGCAATACTTATGTTTATAAAGTAACTATAAAATTGATTTAGTTTAGTGTAAGCGTACATCTAGACCTAGTGATTAAAAACTCGACTAAGACCCAAAGGTCATAAGTTATCGGAACCATACCAAAAAAAATTATGTATCAATTTAAATTTAACTCTCCGGTGATACAAAACATCATAAACGGTGTTTATATTATTAACCGGGTCTTAACACGAAGTAATATTATGTCAAATAAAGGTATTTTCCTCTCTCGACGTTTCGACTGTTACTCCAGTCAGCTCGTGACCACGGCTAGTGCAACCTAGTCGACACGTCGAGAGGTAAATACCTTTATTTGCCATAAAATTAGTTCGTGTTAACACCCGGTTATACGGTCATAAACCAAATTAATCTGAGAGGCGGCGGTAGTCTCGACCGCAGTAAGTTTGAAATGTACCAAGTAAAATCTGAGCACGAATGTATTTGTTCTTAATTATATTATTCTTCGTCCTTGTCTATTCAAGACAATTTTAATCACAAATTTTTCATGTTTAAATTAAATTATACCAGTTTTTAAACGGTCTGTCCATTTTTAAGATGTCTCGGTATAAAAATACACGTGATATTATGCAGAATTTAGTCTCGTATAACAGGGTTGTATGAGATCATCAGAACATACAATGATATATTGTATGTTGTATGTCCCCTGTTGTATGAGACTAACCCTAAAAAAAATTTCGAGTTAATGATAATATTAATAATATTTGTGAATTGTGTCAAGAAACTGTCATTTTTTTTAATAATATCATGACGATTGGCACTGACAACAATAATCCTATTGTTTGGGCTGCCTTTTGCCAGTGCCAGTGTTGCCATTTTAAGGACTTTTGCTACAAATTGCAGCAGTATGGGTGTAACATATGCATATGAATCCCAAGAGAGTTACCCCTCTCCGTTAGATCCCCCGTCCAATTCAAAAAGGGATCGAAATTACGACGACCTAAGCCAAGGATCGAACTCCCAGCGTGCCCTCAGACTAGTCGTATCCGTCAGGCAGAAGTTGGCCATCAGTCACTCCATAAGTCCTTCCTTTGGTTTGGAGTGCCATCTGCAATTGTCCCGTATCGTATGAAGCTGTAAAGGCCTGTTGCGGTTAACAGCATCAGAATAGTCCGAAAAAAATAAGGGAGTTACCATTAGCTCGCCTACCAGCATTAGGGATGATCAATATTAGAAAAACATCAATATCTACAAAAAAAATATTAAATTTAACGTTATCTACTCGCCTTTATACATATACCAATTATACCATGTTTCTGCTACACCGTAAACAATGTAGTTAAGTATATTAATCCATACGAGTGTTTCCATTAGGCCAGCATTCATGATTGCTACCATTTCATTTTCAGGCGTCTATAGGCTACGGTAACCGTTTACCATCAGGTGGGCCGTATGCTTGTTTGCTACGATCGTAGTATAATACCAAACTGCGCTTGCGCAGTGAACCATATGTTACTATATTCCGTGTTACAACTTATATATTAGCGAAGAGTTTATTTTTATACCAATAAAAGACTGGGTTTTATTTCTTAATACCTTAGCATAGCTTTGTAATATGTGTATTGAATAAACGACTCTAAAGTTATAACATTATGAGCTTTTTTTATTTTACCTGAAGTCTATAAACACCTTAATGAAATAACTCGTACTGACATCTATACATATAAATAAAATAGGAGTGTCTATTTCTAATATTGAAATAACCGTTTTTTACCAAAATTTTTTTTTTACAATTTTGTCTGTCTGTCTCTCATGTCTGTTTGTTCCGGCTAATCTCTGAAATGGCTGGACCTATTTTGACGGGACTGGCATATTCATATTACAATTGATGTAATAAGGAATAATTTAGGCTATTTTTATTTTAGAAAAATAAAGTTAAATTCCACGCGGACGAAGTCGCGAGTACAGCTAAATTAAAATAAAATTAAACAGCGTAAATTGCCCAGGGTTATTAATAATAATACCTCTGCACAATTTTTTCATGAAAGAAAGAAAGAAAAATATTTTATTCAGTGCAATGTAAAAAAGATGAAGATCCATTCAGTACTGAAAGGATAACAAGCAGACAGTCACTTTCACATATTGACGGCCCCGGTGGTCCAGCGGTTTACCACGCCGCTTTACTTTTGGTGGTCGTGGGTTAGATTTTTGTATTCATGAGTATAATATTTTTTTTACGTATGATAATGGGATGGTGCACCCGCCTGCGCTAACGGTTTACGCTGGCGGGGCACCAGTGAAGTATGATAAGATGAACATAAGGTCAGGTCAGTTGGCCCGTGACAAATTCACTAGGAATTTATCACGATGGTTTCCAGGGGAAACCACGTGGAGGTCAACCTGACATAGTACATTGTTCGTAATGAGGTCAAGAGTCCACATTACTAACAATCCCTTTCACCCCAATCATGAGTATAATTGTTCGTATCGTTCTGGGTGTTATTAAAAAAAATCTATAATCAATTGTCTGGTACCCGTAACACAAGATCTGCTTAGCTTGGGACTAGATGGCGCTTTGTGATTTGTCCTAAGTGTTTAGATATTTAATGTATACCTACCTAAAACTTTATATTAAACTCACTTGAATCAAATCAATCAGCAAGAAGTCAACAAATAAAACGAACAGATATTGTCAGAACTTTTATTTACCATCAACACGTTATAGGTTATTATATACTTATACAGAAACAACAAGTCGATGCCCAGTACGCCAACAGAATACACAGTAATTTATTTTAGCTATCATATTCAATAAGTTTAAACATCGTATCCATAACACTGCACATACAAACGAAGAGATCCTAAATAATTAAGCACCAAGTAAGTGGCATACCTACATTATCTAGAATACATTACAAGTACATCAGTACAATAGGAATACGAATAATTCAATATATTAGAATACAATGATATCAGAATACACTTCGCGCGTTATACGGGTGACAGAGAAGTAAATCAGTCAAAATTCGAACACTCATTAAAAGAAAGAAATGATTATATAAAAATGATAAAAACCATGATGAGAAAATTTATTATGTTTTTAAAAAGAATTTATTATGTAAAATTCGAACACTATGGCAGAGCTAGCTCGAGTTGTCTATTAATAGATACAGGACGTACGCTGCTCTATGTCCGGAAACTAGCGATAGCGGGCTGGCAACCGAACGGTGCGTTTCGGAAAATTGCTATCCGCTATAACACTCATTAAAAAGATGAATTGATTATGTTAAAACTACAATTATGACTATTGACTTTTACTTCAAAAACCTCAATAAATATCTCGGATGACGTCGGTAAAGCAGATAACCAAAAAATTTTACCATTTAAGTAAGATTTTTAAACTCTTGTCCTAGTTTATAAGGACTCAATTCAAAAATAAGACAACTAGAAATATTGGATTTAATTCTTAGACACTGAAATGTTACAAAATAAATACTATAATAATGTATAAAATAAACATATAGAAATGCTAAAAAATATCAAATGTGATCACATATTTTCTTCTAATCCATATATATAACTTTGATTTTATTCAGATTCAACCGGTAAAAAGACAAAATAATGTTGTTGTACATTAAAAAGCACTAAAATGCTAACTGTCACCCATACCATGCGCTTAGTAGGTGCAACACTCTTATCTAATCATGGATTTGAACTATATCCAATAACTACAATACAACAGTGTCTTCAAGAAGTTCAGTAAATAATCAACTAATTAACAGCTTAAAATTATGGAGGATATGTCGAAAAGTTAATACCTATCCACTTATAACATTCAATATGAAAATTAAATTATTCGTTAATCTTAAGTCGTGGTTATTTGGAAAAATTGGAATGTAATAAATTATTTGAGTAATTTATCTCAAAATTTGTTTTCTGCTGTTCTATTTATTTAAACAGAAAAAAACAGTATATATGAATATTTAAATACAATTGTTTTAAAAAAATAAGTCACAAATAAATTATTTATTTACTTCTATTTACCAGAAATAAACTGGTTATCGTTAGGTATACCTAAATTTACTGTTTGTGTAAGATATGATTGTGTTTTATGATATGTTTCTATGATAAATATCATATTTTTTTCAATTAAAAATATGTTAGATATTAGTGCTTTTATCGGTCATCGATGATACAATTCGTTATAAATTTTTTTTAACTAAATTATTATTAAACATTACAGATATTTATCTCAAAAGACTATAAATAACACATGTTTTGTTTAACTTCTCCTGCAATTTTATCCTCCTGGATACCTGAAATAAATATCAACCTGTACAATTGGCAAGATACCAAAACCCAACCAAACCAAGATTACCGAACCTACACTTGGAGGTAAGGGATAAATATATTCAATAAATAATAAATGTAGTACCTACTCTTGAGTCTACGTTTATCTCAATTCTTACAGATTTAAAATCAACTAGTTTTGCCGGACCCAATTGCATTCTTCCCAATAAATTACTTATAATTTCCAGTCTTAGATGGTTGGCTTTTACAGCTTCACTGAACGAATAGGTAGGC